AAGACGTCCGAGCGGCTTGGTGAGGACGTCCGCGAGTTGCCGACCAGTTTCGACGAACTCGATGACGATCTGCCCTCCATCGACACAGTCCCTGAGGAAGTGGAACTTCACGTCGATGTGTTTACTCCGGTCGTGTAGAACCGGATTCTTCACGAGGGCGATGGCGGGTTGGTTGTCCACCATCAGTGCTGGTGGGTGAGCTTCCACGTCGGTCAGCTCGCCCAGCAGCCGGCGCATCCACACAACTTGGCACGCCGCTGTGGCCGCCGCTACATACTCTGCCTCGCACGTAGATAGCGCCACCACCTTCTGCTTCAGTGACAACCATGAAATTAGGGCCAGCCTGAGGAAGACGAGCACGCCAGAGGTGCTCTGTCACCCGTCGATGTCCCCCGCCATGTCTGCATTGCTGAACACAGTAAGCTGTAGCCTACCCTCGCCGGTCTTTGGAAAAATGATCCCATGATCTACCGTCCCCTTAACGTAGCGCAGTAGCCGCTTCATCGCAGCCTAGTGATCCTCTCTAGAATTCTCCATGAAGCGACTGACGTAGCCCACGGCGAACGCAATGTCCGGCCTCGTGTGGACTAGGTAGCGCAGACCGCCGACGATGCTCCGGTAGAGTGTCGCATCCACCTTCGCCGCGGTGCTGGCCTTCGTCAGCTTCAGTCGCTCCTCCATCGGAGTCACGCATGGCTTGCACTTAGCCATGCCGCTCCTCTCCAACAGCTTGGAGGCATACACGCTCTGACCGAGCGTGAGTTCCTCCTTTCCCTGTCTCACCTCGATGCCGAGGTAGTAGGAGAGTACGCCGAGATCGCTCATTCGAAAATGAGTCGTCATCTCGCGCTTGAAGCTGTTGATATCCTCCGTGCACGCGCCGGTTACGATTAAGTTATCCACATACACGCCGACGACAAGCTCCTCCTTCCCCCGTAGCCGCATGTAGAGCGTGTGCTTAGTTGCGCACCGTTGAAATCTAAGCTCGCCCAGCGTGGCGTCAAGCTTGGCGTTCCATGCCCGAGGGGCCTGCCGCAGCCCGTAGAGCGCCTTGCGCAGTCGAAGCACCCTGTGCTCCTTTCCCTTGACGGTGAAACCTAGAGGTTGCCTGACGAAGACTGTTTTCGCCAGCTCGCCATTGAGGAAGGCCGATTTAACGTCCAAGTGATGGACACGCCAGTCCTTTGCTGTTGCCAAAGCAAGTAGCAAATGGACCGACTCCATGCGCGCTACTGGCGCAAAGACCTCCTCGAAGTCTATGCCCTCACGCTGAACAAAGCCTCGGGCAACGAGGCGTGCCTTGTGTTTAACAATGGCGCCGAGCTCGTCCCGCTTGACCTTGTACACCCACTTCAGGCTGATCGGACGACATCCTAAAAATGGATCAATGAGCTACCAAGTCTCGTTTTCTTAAATCGCCTTCATCTCCTCCAGAATCGCCCGTTGTCAGTTTTTATCGCGCTCGGCTAGCGCGAACGTGGGTGGTTCCTCTGTACTGACGAGTAGCAGCTCTGCGTCATTGAGCAGCCTACCCACTAGACCTGAGGGACCTGTACCGCCGACAATGTCGTCCAGCCTGTGGAACCGCACCTCCTCACCTTCGTGGAAGGCATCCACGAGCTCAGTGATGTCACTTGGAGGTGAGACGAACTCGATCGACATCGATAGAGTTCCCTGTTTCGCCGGAGTGCTTGGCATAGCACCTTGAGGGCTTGGCACTACTTCTGGACAGCTCGTCATAACTCCTGCAATGTTCGGCCATACTGTAGGAGTGCGTTGCCTCAGTCTTGGAGTGGTCGACACCACTGTAAGACGTCTTGGCTCAGCCATGGGAGTGCTCGACACCCGTCCTGGAGTGGTCGCCACTACTGCAGAACCTCCCAGCACCACTCCTGACGTGCTCGGCATCACTCTAGAAGTGCTCGGCACTCCTCTCGGAGTGCTCGGCATCCCTCTAGAAGTGCTTGGCACTGCCCCAGGAGTGCTTGGCTCTGCCGCCGGAGTGCTCGGCACTCCTCCCGGAGTGCTCAGCACCTCTTCCCAGCGTCTCCACCATCGTGGATGACCAAGTGCTTGATGACGAAGGTGTTGGTAAAGCTGCCTGCTTCCCCAGTGCCCGGACTGCTCCAGTCCCAAGCCGCCTCCTCGTCGAACACAACGTCGCACGAGACAAGCACCTTATCTCCGCGTGGGTCGTAGAGCCGGTACGCCTTGGTACCCTCCACGTAGCCTAGGAACACCATGGGTGTGCTCCTGTCCTCCAGCTTGGTGAGGTTCGGCTTTATCTTCCTGACGTGGCCGATGCAGCCGAATGTCCGGAGGAAGGACACGCTCGGCTTGCGCCCATACCAAGCTTCGAACGGTGTCTTGCACGTCAGGGCCTTGGTCGGAGCGTGATTGAGGATGAACACCGCCGTGGTCATCGCCTCCCCCCAGAACCTTGTCGGCATGCCTTTGGCCTTCATCATGGATCGGGCCATGCCGACCACCGTCTGGTTCCGTCGCTCCACCACGCCATTCTATTGTGGCGAGTACGGCGCGGTGTGGTGTTGCCCCACACCCTGATCCGCGCAGTACGCAGTGAACTCCACCGAAGTGAATTTGCCGCCGCGATCAGTCCTCAGCACACGGAGCTTTTTGCCGCTCTCGGCCTCCACGCGTGTCTTGAACTTCTTGATCGCCACCGCCGCTTCATCCTTGCTCGTTAGGAGTTGCAGCCACATGTAGCGACTGCAATCATCCACGAGTAGGAGGAAGTACCGCCGACCACCGTTTGTAGCAGGTGTGATCGACCCGTAGAGGTCGCCGTGGACGAGCTCGAGAGCGTCCTTCACGCGATACTTGGCCGCCTTTGGGAAAGGTAGCCTCCTCTGCTTCCTGGCCAGGCAGCTATCACACAGCTCGCCTCCGTGCTTGATGTGGGGTAGCCCTCGGACCATCTTCTCCAGCCGACAAGCGCGTCGAAGCTGAGATGTCCGAACCGGGCATGCCACATCCACGGTTCCTCGGAGTGCCTTACCGCCAGGCACACCGGCTGCTCTACCTTTAGGTCGAGCAGGTACAACCGGTTCAGTGACCTCTTCACCTTGGCAAAAAGTCGCTGCTCTCGGTCTCTGATCCTAAGGACTCTGTCCTTGATCAGTACCTCACTACCGCGCTCATCCAGCTGACAAATGCTGATGATGCTGGAACGCAGCTGCGAGATGTAGTATACCTTCGTTAGTGCGCGGTGCTCCCCATTCTGGCACCTGAAGATAATGGTGCTGCGCCCTTGGATAGCCACCCTTGAGCCATCATCAAACTTCACCATACCGGTAACATCGCCGTCGAGCTCGGAGAAGGATGCCTTGAAGCCCGTCATGTGGTTGCTGACACCAGAGTCCAGATACCACCGCTGCTCCTGGTCGGTGCCCACACGTCCGAGGTGGACTTGGGCGCGTGGTTCGTCGAGGTTGACAGTCTTCAGGGCCTTCCTAGGTCCTTCCACCATCGTCACATCTTCCTTCTCCTCGGCCTCGACGTCGTGCAGTGCACAGAACGTCGTCATCAGGATAGTGGCCTCATCCTCATCATCAACTTGCGCCAGATGAGCCTGAGCCTTCTTCTCCTGCTTGCGATTTGGGCACTCCCGTGCCTAATGGCCCATCTTCCCGCAACGCCGGCAGGCGTTGGGGTCGACCTGCTTCTTCTCCGAAGAAGCCTTACCGCGGCGCTTTCCATCGCCACCGTGGCTGGAGGAGGCTGCCTTCCCAAAGTTCCTCTGAGTAGCCCACTTCTCTTCCGTTAGCAGGAGTTTCCCGCTGTCCTTCGTTGCTGCCGCCTGCTCCAGGCGCTCATCCACCGCCCGTAGACGGCCTGTCACATCCTCAATGGTGAGGGTGGACAAGTCCAGTATCGTCTCTATGGAGAGAGCGATCTGGATGTACTTTGCCGGTACGGAGTGGAGGTACTTGGAGACCGTCTTCTCTTTGTCGATGGTGACGCTATGGTTTTTTAGCTTGCTGATGAGCGTCTACAGGCGAAGGGAGAAGTCCTCTACCGTTTCGCCATCCTTGAACTTGAGGTTGGCGTACTCCTACTTCAGAAGCTGGGTCGTTGCCTTATTTGCGCGGTCGGAACCGACGCGCATCGCCGCAATAGCCTCCCACGCCTCCTCAGCCGAGCTTTTCGCCCCCAACGGCTCCCTGTACTCCGCCGGTACAGCAGCAAGGATAGCCTCCAACGCTGATATGTCATCTTCTTCATTATTGGTGTCCTTGTCAACATCATTCCAGAGCTGTCGGGCTCTAAGCTTGACCTTCATGGTCACCGACCACTCTCCATAGTTGGTGCGAGTCAGCGTAGGCCAACTGGTGCCGCTGACCTTCCGCACCGTGCGAACAACGATCTCCAGTCGTGGCTAGGCAGCCACAACAGTGCCACTGCTGTCGTCCATCTCTGAACCGCCCGTCATCACCAGCGGTTAGTCTGACGACGGCGCTTGTACGGCTCCGATACCACTTGTTGACCCACAGGATCACCGACTCAGGTGAGTGAACCACTCACCAGTCTTGCCGAACACCTGCTAGAGCACCCACTAGCCATGCCGACTACGAACGAGCGTTATCCGTCCCCATACACTATGGCTAGAGCTAAAAGAAGAAGGGAGAACAGAGCAAGCACACACAATACAGGACACCAGCGTTGGTCAAAGCTCAGTCTGTGAGATGGTAAATCGAAAGAGGGTTCAGATTTGTCATCTCATAAACTGGGCTTCGGCCAACGCTGGTGTCCTGTATTGTGTGTGCTTGCTCTGTTCTCCTTTCTTCTTCTACCTCTAACCATAGTATGTGGGGACGGACAACGCTCGTTCGTGGTCGGCACGGCTAGTGGGTGCTCGGCAACACTAGCGGGTGCTCAGCAAGACTGATGAGTGGTTCACTCACTAGAGCCGGTGATCCTAACCCTTCCCTTGCTGTGTTCACACAAGGTAACAGTAAATTATCTAACAACGAAATGAGCTAGTTCCTTTTCATCAGCAACCACTCCCTAGAGAAGCATGCCTTCAGAAGCTCCATCTTTCTGATGCCATACTCTGATGTTGCGAGCGCAGCTGGATGGCTTCTGGATCGATCAAAGGGCACACTAAGCTCTTCCGCCAGCTTACGCCCAACATGGAATGCTTTGAATGCCTCTACAAAATTGTTGACCGAGATGTACTGGTGTGGTTTCTCTCCTTGGCACCAGTACTGGTGCTGATCTTTCCTAGATGTGACCTGTTGAAACATAAAGGTTAGTCAAATCAGAGGAACCCTAAACCCTAACATTAAAAGAAGAAATTCTGGTGGATCACTCACTTCTTGTAAGAAGTCTGCCACACCTTTCCTCTCTGGACATTTGAAGCCTACAGCTTCGAAGAACTCAAGAATGTTTTCTCGTGGACTCTGATACACAATTTGGCCCTCTGATAAAAGAACAATGTCATCGAAGAGTTCATAAGTCTCAGGTGGTGGTTGAAGCAGCGCAATGAGTGCGGTGCCACCAAGGATTTTGATAGAGTTCCTAATGGTATTTATAATCTGGTATGCTGTAGAGCTGTCGAGACCATTTGAAATCTCATCCATTAAGAATGCTTTAGCTGGACCAACAAGCATCTCTCCTGCACAAACCCATTCATTTTAACTTTTAAGCTAAGGTGGCAATGTAACTCTTAGTATCATGATTCTCTATTTGAGAGCAGAGAAGCCACATACCGATTGTGAGACGCTTCTTTTGTCCTCCTGAGATACCTCTAATCATGGTGTCTCCCACCATTGTGTCTGCACAGGTTTCTAGGCCCAGAATCTGCATTGAACTTGCAAGTATGATCAGTGCTACATTGTATATGGTTTTTCCAGTTATATATTTTACTACTCACTTTTAGGGTATAATCTGTGATCGCACGCTCCTGACCTTCCACAGAGATAGCCTGTTTAGGCAGAAGAGAAGTACAGGATCGATTGCCATTTTGCCCTTCTATTAGAACAATGGAGTACTCTTTTTTGAAAGTGAAGCAGTACTTTACCTTCATGTAAACATCAATATTAGGATCTGGTATAAGATTGGCTTCTTTTTCCCTTCTTGAGAGGTCTGCAATCATGTCTGTGCAAGTAATTTTAGTTGTCGGGTCTAACAATTACTTAAAGGTAAACAAGTATTCTTTTTCGTTCAGTACTCCTACTGCATACCATATCGTGTTCCAACTCCTTGACACCTTGCAGAGAAGGCCAATATTTCCCTGACTGTCAGTTCGCCGATATGAACATCGTCCTGCCCAATGTAAGCTGATGTCTTCTGAGGGACAAACTCATTCATGCCATGCCCATTGTAAGTTACAGTACCAGTGACCTGAAGGTAAATTCATCCGTATTAGATTAGATTCTTTTTTTCTTTTCTGAAAGGCCCTCTTGCAACATATTATTTCCTTTTTCTGTTCTTTTGGTAAACTGTTGTCATGAAGATTGTGGTACCTTCAGAGTTGACTCAAGTCTCCCTGCCAAAGCTAGGAGTAGGCTAGTTTTACCAGATCCAGGAGATCCAAGCAACAAAGTCATTCTGCAGAAATACACTCCTGCTATTAGACTCCACTCCAGACATGGTCAACTATGTTTCATTTTCTCGTGCAGATGGAAGTAAGTTATTTCTCATATAAACTCACCTGCAGGGCCTAATTATCCCACTAATGTCACCAAGGATAGAGATGGGCCTTGTTTTAGTAGGAATGATATGCATAGCGTTCAACACAGCCTGACGAAACAGACGACAAGAATCAGAACTGCAAGACAGTAACTGAATCTTTGTCTTCTACCACTAACCGTGAAGCATGAATGACACTGGCCACTGGGTAATGTTTCCATACCATGATTCTGTTGGAGAAGAAGTTGAGGAATGTCAGAACACTCTGGTTACCCACAGGTGCCTCGGCTTCTACGCTCAAGCTCTCAAAACGAACTTCAATCGTCGGGTTGTCCATCCCAACTCTATGAAACGAGTATTAAAAAAAACCTCTATGAAACGAGATCACAATAAGCAGCTAACAGCTTAAAGAAATCTGAAGCACGACTTTCAGCGAGCGAGACGAGCGAGTGCTCACCGCTCCATCCGCTCCCGGATCCGAGGAGAAACCTGCTATTATCCTCAACATCAGCGGTGCATAGCAGCCGGTCGACGAGGTTCTTCTTCTCCTGCCTCCCGAGGCGCTGGACATCGACCTGCTGCACATGGCCATCGTCGCCGGCGAGTATGCCCTTCCTCATGCGGCTGTACGTCGGGGACCTCTCGATCGCCGCCCAAAGCAGCGCCGCCTCGTTGCCCGTTCCTCCGTGGCCGCCGCCTTCGCTCGGGGTTTGCTTTTGCTCCCCGTGGCTGTGAAGATTCTCCTGCATGATCATTTCATTAGAAACAGTAAGTCACTCAGATGATTTTTTCTTTCTTTCTTTCTTTCTTTCAGAAATGATGTAAAAGATCGATCTTGTGGATCTTGGATCTCCTAACGAAGCCTTTGATTTCTTTACCATCTGCACTAGCAGCCCCTTGTTGTGATGAAGAAGCTAGCTAATTTCTACTGGAATCCATCAAGATGCTAGCTAGGCAGAGCTTGTTGAAACTGGCGGTCACGCCCTATGGACAAATGGAGAAATTGAGGTTTACCGCGTGCACATACACATATAAGCATGTCAGTCGTAATTCATCACAGGTGAAATGACTTTGAACTGGGTAATTCCAAACTGTTGTGGTACAGAAAGGAAATGCCTAATTCGTGATTCACCGAACCAACTGGCAGCCTTCATCTTCCCATAATTGTCTTGATAATTCCATTTGCAACCACACGGAGTTCAAATATACGACCGACCTTGCTAATCTCGTTTGCTGCGTCGCCTATCTAGCCATCTAGGTTCCCTGTTTTGATGTGCTACTAGTACTAAAGTTTGTTGTTTCCGACGCGTAGCCGCTTAGCTTTAGTTGTGTTACAAAACACGTTGTTGACGTCGGATCAACTCTCGCTCTCAATAGTAACGCAAACACAGGAGTGAACACAAAAAAACAATTGTGGGACTATTCATTATTGTTTTCTAGATATCGATAATTACAATGCAGCATCTCCCGTGTATATATAGTCCGAATATGTCTTAGAGTTTGGTAAACGCCTACACGATAAACGGATTAGGATTATGATTCCTCTTTTTCCTCTCTCTATATTCCAAAGTCGTACAACAAGTTAGCAGCCTGTTCGTTTGCTCGTAAACGATCGTAAATTTCCAGCTGGGAACAATGTTTTTCTCTTACACCAAACCAGCCAGCAGTAAATAATCCACGATACGATACGGCCTCCCGAAGAGGCTGTAGAACGTCAGCTTCAATGCTTAAACAAGCTAGGAGTAGTTGTTTGCCAGTTTTGTGTCAGAGGCAATGAGCATGTGCCAGTGTCGAATATATATATTTTCGGTAACGCGGCATGTTATGAACTTAATGTGACAATATATAAATGCACAAAACAGCGTTCTGTTGGAGGTAAGTTGCGTAGCGTACCACGGGACAACTCGGGGTCGCAGATGAGTGCACGGCGGGCCGCGGGCACGCCCACGGGCAGCGACATGACGCCCACGCTGTGTGAGGCTGCTCGTCGCAAGGTTCACCGAGAAAGCTTAGCTCAAGCGATAGTTGTCATTAATCACCAGATCACCAAGGTAGAAGGAGGCAAACACAAGGCAACCACTGCCAATCAGGAGCAGACAAATTGTCGCTCAACCGCTGGCGCACATACTGGCCCCGTTCGCTTCGCTGAAAAAACAAGCCGAAACACTGTTCCGACTGATTTGCTGTGAGAGAAAAATACTGTTTTGGCTGAAAAAATAAGCTGAAAAAACGGATTATAAAAGAAGCGAACATGGCCACTGACTTCCAAGCGGGGCGAGGTACTCCTCATGCAGAAGATGGGCACCGTGCCGCCGGCAGCTCCAGTTTCATCCGCGTCCAAGGAAACGTACAATGCCATATTCGCAGGGAACTTGACGCCGAGCCACGTGGCAACTCTGGACAAGCTGTTCCCAGCGACCAACAACAGGGCTGGTAGAAGAACGCTCTTCTCGAATGACGGAGTAGGGTCACGCAGCCAGCAGTAGAGACGTCTAGCTCCGTAGGTTGCTGTGCTGCTCTTAGTTTGGTTGTATACCATTTATGTAATATAAAAGTTTGAAACAGTCTGCTAGGAAGATCCAGTCACAACTGTAAGATCACCTAGGGCGTTCATCAGAAACGTGTCGTTTGTATGGTTAAACTATTCTTCTTAATTATAATGATACATAAATCTTTTGTGTATTCCAATAAAAAAAAGTTATAGCTTAATGAATGATGATTGAATGTGTGTCTAGATATGGATTATTGACAGTGCAAAATAACTTTCCGCGTGTAAAAGGATGCGCACGTTCCGTAAAAAAAAGGATGCGCACCGGCGTGTGCATGGCTGTAGTGTGCCTCCCAGCGGCGTGTGTAATTATATATTTTTATAACGCGGTAGTCTAGACTATTATTTTTTGAACATGTTCATCGGATTCAAATTATCAGTTTCCCACGGGACTCGTGTTTTCGTAGATTTATTCTATGATTTAGTGACGTTATTGATTTAGTGACAGATGATGTATCTAACTATAGCGAGATCCCTACAGTGACTTAGCGAATATCGACATTTATCATCTCAGCCTTTTCAGAGATGTCTGATGCTTAGCTTTAGATTCAAGTGGCCGGGAGCGACCAAGTTAGAAGCACTAGTCACTACAGCTAGAGGGAGCTAGTGTGTACATTTGGCCTTTCGTTGTCATCTTTCTCAGCTTCTCCGATTTGGCGAGTGCTTTCCTATCTTAATTAATACAAAGATACGCATATCTCTTCTCTCTTGCGTATTTTAGAGAAGAAATCATTCTATGATGCTCCGGTATACATGTCATCATAGACGTATAATCGGTTGCCCAAAAAAATTCTAGAGAAAACTCCATGCCTCGATCAAAGACTGAGCCTTCAGTCTAGATGGGGTTCTGTTTTGTCTTCTGCCAGTTGCTGATGGGTGCTTCCGGAGTTTGGGCTTTGTTTAGATCGTAAATTTTTGTAATTCGGACATTGTAGCACGTTTTATTTGTATTTGACAAACTTTGTCCGATTATGGACTAACTATACTTAAAAGATTCGTCTCGTGATTTACAACCAAACTGTGTAATTAATTATTTTTTTACCTACATTTAATGCTCCATGCATGTGTCCAAAAATTAATGTGATAGAGAAAGAGTGAAAAAACTTGGAATTTTGATGAGATCTAAACAAGGCCTTGTTTAAGGAGTTGCTTACAACTGGAGTTCCCTCAAGCTCAGGTGTTGGGTGTCAAGCCGGCGCCTGCATTTTTGTTTCTTTCCTGTTATTTTAGTAGTCGCACGGACGGTGGTGTCGCTGCACATTTTCTTCTTTTTGTCTTTGTTTGTTCATAGTGCTTTGACTAGTGTCTGCACATTTCATTTCATTTTTGTCTTATTTTACTCCTCGTGATTTTGACACTCCAACGGGCAGGTGCGTGGAGTATACGTACGTGTTTTATATGGCAGCTTGTGTAGAGATTTTAATTTCCTCAATAAAAATAAGACAAGGAGTATGAGAAAATAATCTTCAAATCAAGACAGAGATAGCTGATGATCAAGTAGTAATAATGCAAGTCTAGTAGCAGGCAAGTACGTCTTTGTTAGGACTAATATACTACAAAAGCATGAGAAGATCTCAGGATTTTCAAGTCTTAACGAAAGGGATTCCTAGATTTCCCTTTCCCAAGCTATTACACAAAGGTGGTATTTTCCATAGCATAACAGCACAAATGCAAAGCATGAGAGGGACAATAGATAATATAGGACACCATATGAGGTGGGTTTTGTGAGGGACGATAGATAATATAGGACACCATAACAACATATATGAGGTGGGCTAAAGTTTAGAACTAACTTTACACCATATGTTTGAAGACTTTAGCTCTGAAGTTTAGAGCTCAAAAAATTAGAGAAGGGAATCCAAACAGGCCCTATGAAGATAGATATTGATGCACCTATATCAAACTAAAATAAGAAAAGGATGCTAAGAAGTTGATGTAGGAAAAGAATGATGAGAAGTAGGAGAATGCCACCACAGAGTTCATCCCCTATATGATGGGTGCCTCGTGCATCTTATGTAGTAGGGGCGTGTCGATTTGAGGGCAAAGCTAAGAAATCGAAATGGGGAAAGATGAGATGGGGGCTGGACTTAGTGGCACGTGGTGGTGGAAAGAGAGAGGGGTGCACCGTGCTTGGAAAGATTGGTCGTGCTCAGAAGAGTGTTGCCACCATTGCCGATTCCTTCTGCCTGCACACCATATCGAGAGAGGATTGTGGCTCTTCCTACAACGCGAGGCATCATGGATGACCAGATGCTAGAGGAGCTCGTCACCTCACTTGCTATCACCTAGACCGCTCGAGTCCCTGCAAGTGGGCCTCTGCCTCCAACTCCTGCAGTAGTGCACCTGCGCTCTTCGAGAGAGGCAACATGTATCAGTCCAGCGCATCACTTCGGTTGGTCAAGAAAGCCTTGGTTGCCATGCAGATGCACCCCCGATGAAGACTGTAGCCACGAGTAGCCCCCGATGCCCCTCTTGGTGGGCAGCAGACTCGTCTCCACTGTCGCCTGAGCTAGGGCATGCCCAGGCCCAGGATACTTCGCCAGAGCCCTCTCCACCGGGCTTTGAGCAGGCCCCATCCTTAATTGACACTAGTTTTGCTCACCTGCCTATGTTGTTGAAGGATGACACTACCCAACAAAGGACAACGATTCCTCCGCTGCCCGACGCCTCAAGAGATTCATCGAGCGAGTGCTTTGCAAGATGGATTCTCCGCTCATACGACAACCTCCCAAGCAACCAGTAGCCACTAACCAGTCGGTGCCCCCGTTGCGGAGCAAGCGTCTAGTGGCATAGAGCCTTTCCAATGTGCTAGCGTCCAAATGAGTGAAGTCCTAATTGTGCAGCGTGTGAGAATGACCAAGGGGCTTTAACGCCAAGCACATCGGCAAAGAGGACCTATGAGGAGCTCTTCAATGTCGAGTCAAGTGCTTCCAATGTAGCAGCACTGAGAGAGCTCTTCCTAGCCTGTGGACTAGGATCTCACAGTCAGCAGCAGCGACGCAAGGGCATAATTTAGGCCGCATCGCTGCCCCTACGTCGGTTGTTTAGCTCATGAGTAATAGTTTAGCGTGCACCTAGAGACTAGGGAGATCTAGCTTTCTGCTATAACTCTAGACCACTTAGGGCGACCGTAGCGTGTTGTTTTTATATTCATACTCTCCTACTCTAATGATAATGATGTGTAAACCTTTTGCGTATTGAAAAAAAGTGATGTGATTTTAGGCCTGCAACAGGGGCGGATTGACCCATTCTTGAATCCGATTTGCTCCTAATAAATTGAGTCCACGGTTCGGAGCGAACTGACCCCAACAGGAAGAGGGTCTAAAGGGTCAGAACCCTGTTGACCCTAATCGACGTTCGAATGATTGATGTTGTTATTGTTGAGTAGTCTAGCTTTGGCCTTCTCAAGAGGGAACACAATGCATGGCCAAGGAAACCCTGATTACCTCTCTAGCTATAGCTTGTAGTTTCTTTGCTCTCACTGCAATTTTGAGCTTGGACAGTGTCTTCGTTTTTTTGCGAATTACACAAGTACAGACGCAGACACTCAACACGCACGTACACTCACCCCAATGAACATACGTACGTAAAACCTACCCCTATGAGCACCTCTGAAAGACTGTGTCGGCACATCTCGAGATTGACGAAGTCACCACAGGTGCCTCGCTGTCGATGGGAACGTCGCCTACCATTGAAAACACAACGCCGCTAAATCTTGGAATATAAATCCAGGAAAATGCGAGCACCCATGCCAAGTCGAGGACTTGAACCCGGGTGGGCAGGTTCCACCACAAAGAACCTAACCAACTGAGTTAAGCTGCTACCAAGGAAACCAAATTTTGTTTAGCCTATATTTATGACTTTATAGGCTAAGTTTTAGTTGAATCTTTTATGGATATTAATGGATTCTTGTCGGTGTTTTAAATGAACACCAACTAGTAAATTTATAATTGTTGCGTATTAGGCTCGGATGGTGTACTAAATGACACAAGGTTTATACTGGTTCGGGCAGAATGTCCCTACGTCCAGTTTGCTGCTGCTCGCGTTATTAGTACCGAAAAAGGTTCATAGTAGGGGGTACAAACGGTAGAGAGAGGGACAAGTCCCAAGTCTCTAATGGAAAGGTCGAAAGGACGCCAAGAGCTCGATTCTTTGCTTGGTCGTGTGTTGTGTGTCAAAACGATCGGTCCCCTTAGTGGGGTGCCCCGCCTCCCTTTTATAGACCAAGGGGAGCAGGGGTTACTGATGGGAGAAAGAGAAAAAACCAAAGGTAGAGAAGGTCCTTGAGGGAGCCGGTCTTCCTTTTCCCTCGCGTCCCACCCTCGCTAACATGCGCACCGTGTCGAGATGACGTGTTCGCTGATCCCCATAGGGTCGTGCCCTAGCCTCTTTTAGCAAGTGGGTGCGTCCCA